AGATGCTATCTTTTCTACAATGAATGTCTTTTGCGTCTTTGTCAAATATCAGGTGACTGTAGTTGTGTGTACTCATTTTGAGTCATTTCATTTATTTGATTGTTTTACACAACTGTTTTCAAGATGGTACCACATAGTTTTTATTGATATAGCTCTATAACATATCTTGAAGTTTGAAATAGCAATATCTCCAATACTTTTTTTTCTCAGAATTGTTTGAGCTATATGGGGTCTTTCTTATTTCCATATGAGTTTTATTATTTCTTTTCTAATTCTGTGAAGAGTGTTGTGGGTATATCGATGGGTCCCTCCCTAATCCCTAAGTTTAAACAGTGTATTTTGTAAAATCACTCTGTAGCCAGGCGGTGGTGGCGCATGCCTTTAATCCCAGCACTCGGGAGGCAGAGGCAGGCAGATCTCTGTGAGTTCAAGGCCAGGCTGGACCGACAGCTTCCAAAACAATACAGAGAAACCCTGACTCCTATAAACCAAAAAAAAATCACTCTGTAATTTTGTTAAAATGCTGTTCTTTAAGAGAAATATATAAGCCAGCTTATTTACTTTTACTAATTTTAAATGATTAATCTTAAAATTCTGCTTAATCATTATATATATATATATGATGAGAAAATGCTCCCATGAAATCCCAACAGCATGGTTGCCAGAGCAAGATGGGCATAATGACACTAGCTGACATGCCAATGTGAACAGGAGACATTTCACCCAATCCTGCCCCTAGATGAATAGCTACAGATGGTCAGTGGATGCAGACAAATGGGAAATTGGTTGCCTCCAAGGTCAAGCTCCCACATAGTTTGTCCCTTCCCAACAGGTCAATACACACACACACACACACACACACACACACACACACTCACACACACACCCTGACACATTGTCAATAATAGTTGAATAAGAGATCACGAATTTAGGAAAAAGAGGGGGGAACAGAAAGAGTCGTGAGGGAAGGGATGAGAGTGGTAAGATACAGTGTTCTTAAATGACATTCTCAAAAAGGAAAAATCCTTCACTGAGAGGACACATTTAACAGAGAATCCAAAAAGCCATCACAGACATTTTTTCACTTCAGTTATTAAATAAGACAATGAGAATGAAAACTATGAAAATATTAAAAGAGGTATAAGTAAACAATGAGGAAATATCACAACACATAAAAATTTTCCAATCTTATTTTGGAGACAGGAGCATAAAACTTTTATAAATTATGAGAAAAACTTTTGTAAAAATTGTGTTAACCAGAAAATTATAGTTAAATGGAAAATTGAGAGTCCAAAAGACAGGCATTCAAGCAATAAGCCCTGTCATGTCAGGTGGTATTCCAAAAGCCTGTAAAGGAAGAAAATTGCATTGACAGAGATTTCAGTAATGGAAACTAGAATGAACTGTCATATTAATTAGACAAAAAATAACCTGTCAATTCAGATGGCTGTCTACCCTACAAATCCTGAGAACTAAAACAAACTATTTTCACTGGGAAACAGAGGGATTTAAGTTAACATCCCTTTATAAAGAAAATGTCCTTATGGTAGTAAAGATAGCAGAAAGAAAATTACTCTAGCCTATTAAGAGAAAATTAGATTAGAAAGGCAGACATACAAAATGTAGCAATGCACTGTTTAAGAGACCCTAAAAAAGACATAGGGCATAATTTCTGAAAGAAAAAAAAATGGAAAACAGCACTAGTAAACTTCTCTGGGCCATGGATATGTTTACCATCTGACGGTAAAGATGGTTTCTTAACAAGCATGCAATCGAACCAATCAAACTCTTCTCTTTAATGGGTTCGAATTAGCTGAAAGATATTTAGAAGAAAATAAAAATGGTGGAAAAAATAAGTCAAGCAAGTTCTGAGAAGAGCAGCGATAATGCTGCTTGGGGCCCTGTTATAGCAAAACACAATAGCTTCCTCGGCACAGTTATAGTTAAGTGATAAAAACAACTATGATAAGGCAAGAGACTCCAGAATCTCACTTGTATCTAGATAACAAGTTGTAGATGATTCCTGATATTAAATCATATGGTCAGATACTTAACTAACATATAGGTAGATTGACAAATTTCCAATTATAGTGGCTCTTTCAAAATACAACTCTTAGTGATTGATATTCAAGGACACAGGAAGTGAATGAAAAGTAAGTTAGTTGGCAAGTTTGCAATTGTCAAGGAAGGGAAGACAAATCAAAACTACACTAATGTATCATCACACCTGTAAGAGCTGCTCTTACTAAAAAGACAACAAGAGCCAGCGAGGACATGGAGGAAAGGGAATCCCCATGTACTTTTGATGGGAATAGAGGTTAGTAAAGCCACTATAGAGGTTTCTCAAAAATTGAAAGAAAACATTACTTCCATTCAGCATCTTCAGTACTGGGTATATATCCAAAAGGAAATGAAACTGAATCCAACCCATCAAAAAGACATTTGTTTTATAGAACTATTCAAACAGTCAAGAACTGGAATCATCAGACACATCCATAAATAAATTTTAAAAAATGAACAAAAACATGTGGTATCTACACACGTAGCTATATCAAAGAGTGAAATTCTATCATTTACAACAACCTGTCTGGAAATGGAGTTCATCACATAAAATGAAATAAGTCAACCACATAAAGACAATACCACATGGTTTTCCTGTTTGGTAGGGAATGGTGAGATGGCTAAGAGGAGCCAAGAATAGGAATAATTAGCCCTCAATGAGGGAAAGTTACCAATGGGTGGAAGTTTCAACTAGATAAAAACAGGAAGTTCTGGGTAGGATAGTCTTATACAACATTTTGACATTGTTACGGGACACCGTCATCTACCAAGCCCATGCTTAAGAGATGCATACTCTAGTTTCAAAAATAGTCACAACAATAATATTTTAGTAAATTTCTTACATTATATCCGTTTCTTTTCAAAGACATCTTTGAATCTCAGTTTGGGCACACCTGCTAAAGACTAATTATGCCCTTTTTGTTTCAAAACGTAAAAAAGACAGTATTTAAAATGATTTCACTACACAGAAATGGTGTTTGCAAAAATGAAAGTGTTTGTCCCAATTTGAACATAGCACAATGTATACATGTTTTTGAGGATCACGAGATGCATCATTAATATGTAAGTACTGCATGTACGAATTTTCAAAGTATATTTAATTTAAAATATTTTAAAAAGTGAACAGATTGACCAAAGTAGAAATCCTGGCTTCCCCCCAAAATTACATCTTGTTATTAGTAAACACTGCAAGTATGAGCCAGATATCAATTCAGTTGCATTCTGTAATTACTCACTGTGTCTCTATAGCATGAATAGTCGTGTGTATACTAAAACAAAGAACTGTTTTATAGAAGGAGTGTGACATGAATCTATGAGGTCTGGCTTAACAGTAGCTTGACAGGCTTTGGTCACACCAACCATGCCTCAGATGGCCTCATCTTTTCCAACAACGTTAATATACAGGTCTTTCTGATCACTCAAAATAGAAAGTACAAGCTGAAGATTTTCTCTGCTGTTTCTTGTACATATCCCTTTCTCAGACAGCACTCACTGTTTCCTTCCCACATAATGACTACTCCTAGGTAGTAGGAGACGAATAAGACACTGGATGTCCATGCAACCCATTTTAGTCTGTAACCAGATGTGGGTTTTGCGTTTTAACTCTTCTTGCAATGATCTGCATTGATAGTTTTTAGCCTCAAGTTGCATGCTTGTTAGTTGTCTTTTTCTTTTTGTATTTGCAGGTGTTGAACCCAGAGTCTTATGCAAAATAGGCAAGTGATCTAGCACTGAGCCATATACCCTGTTATGCTTTTCGAATGTTGTGTAGATAGCACAGGTGTATAGAACAATGCATTCTCTTCAAAGACTGTGCCGACAGCAAACTAGACTTCTGAAAAAATGATAGGTAAAATATGTAGGAATGTTCTAGTCATATGGTATAGATGTTTAGTGAATGCATATTTTACGTATTTATGCAAATCTGGGTACTTAGCTACAGATGTGTATTTAAGGCTATATCTCTATTTAGACGAGGCTTACATAAAAATCATTTCTATCTAAACTTGATCATACTTTATTAAAATATGTTTTTTGAGAAATACAGACCTAATGTTTTGGGAAGAAAGCCTCTCTACAATTTTTTTTCCTGTACATGATGCTCCTTATCTGGGTTGCCTATTTTTACTTGAAGCCCTCAAGTCAATAATCTGAGGTGGGCAAAATCTAAGTATACATCCTCTGACTAATGCAGGAATACTTTGCTATGTACCTTTTCTCATGAAAACCTTTAACTGAATTGTGAGGAACTTAATCAGACTTCTCTAGCCCTTAAAGTGTGAGATGACCCTTCCCAATGGAATTTATTAGTATCTCCGTAACTTCACCAGTCAGATGAAGTAAAAAAAAATCACCAATGGCTTCAGGAAGCCATTTGGCTTTGTGTTCAACATACTCTCTTTTTCAAATGCAATTCAAGCTGAACAAGTCACCCTTTGTTCAGAACTGACATGCGATGAAGACAGACTCAGCCTCTTACGTCAGTAATAATTAAACTCTAATGGTTTCTCCATTTATGGTTTAGCTCCAGACACTTCTGCTCCTACGCAGAGCCTTCCAGATGGAGGGGAATGCTTCAAGTGAATTTGTCATCTAGTTCCGGGAAGCATAGGCTTTAACTGACTGATAGGCTAGTATAACTCTTTATCACTGAGCCTCTTGATGGTGGGATTTTATAACTCTAAGAGACCCTTTTCTGCACGAGTGTTAACTGAAAGTGTGTCCACCCTTCTCTCCAGACTCTCTGAGCCATCTTGTCTATTATTCATCCTAGACATAGCAGCACTGGCTAAAATTTGGTCTTCTTGTTGACCCCCGCAAGTCTTTGATTCTTTCCTTCCATGCCATCATTTTGTCTTGTTGTTACAACTTTGCTCTCCCAGACTTTGTGCTAAAGCAACATGTAGCATTACATTGAGTACACGGTGAACATCTTTTTAATTATCTCTTTTAATTTTTGAGGTTATTGCAAACATTTTGCTCGGCCCTCATAGGATGCGGACCATGGATATGAAGGTTGTCAACTTCCTGTGACACCCACACATCTCGGGATGATGTGAGTCACTATCCGTGGACACCATCGCTGACCTCGAAACGGTGAGAAGCTCATCTGCCACGTGCAGCAGGAGTGTGCAGGGGCATGTGACAGACTATCTAGCGTGGAAGAGAGGGTTCCAGGAGAGAGATGATGATGCTTGTCACCTAGGATAACAGATGCAGAAACCTTAGTGTGAGTTTTTCCACCCTCCCTCTGTTCCCGATGTGTTTCATTAATCACCTAGCATATTGCCTGATTTCAAATCCTTCCTCCTTCATTTTGACAGGCATGTGAGTCTGAGCATAAGGCAATGGTAGAAATAGCTTGACAAAAGTGAGTTCACAAAGTACTTGCAAGGCTATTTGCGCAGTTCCAGATTGTTTTAATTGCAATAATAGTTGTATTTTTTATGCAACTACAAACAGGCATTATTAATTGTGGTGACCTTGGCAACCATATCCGTGAGTTATATTTTTCTCTGCCTTATAAAAATGTGGTCCTTATTTTACTCAAAATGCTTTGTGCATTATTTCCTTGTTGGTCATTTACAAGCCTTTAATCATGAGGCTAGAATTTTGACTTCCTTTCCTGAAATATTTAATGGTCCAATGCCAGATTCCTCTCTTCTGCTTCATGAGAATTTTATTAAAAAGCTGAAAGAACTGGTCTCTCTGCTATTTGGGGCATTCCAACCTAACAGAGTTAGGGTGGAATAATTCAATCAGCTTGCTGGCATTTGGCCCCAAGTATCCTTTAAGTAACTGCTATAAACCCCTTGCCCCAGCCTGCTGCATCCACATTCTAAACTTATCCCACACAGACCTTATTATTTCTCATAACAGTTTGTCTTCTCTTTCCATACTTCGGTCCGCAGTGATCTGTACTGGGTAGGAGCCATGGAAACAGGCTGGGTAGTCTGGGAGAATCTTGAAACCGCAACAGAAAACAAGGGGATGGGAAGACATGTCGTACCTCACCTGCATGGTAAAGATGGCGAGTCCCAGACTGTCGCTTACTCTCTGAAATTCATGGGGTGGAGTCTAGTGAAGTGCTATCGGGCCCAAGAATGTTTTCTACTGATTGAATTGAGCATATTTCAGACACAGCATTAATGTAAAGCCACGTGAGCAGCGTATGGCGCAAGTGAAGAAAGTTGCTCATTAATAATAATCACAGCAAGGACAGGGAGGTAATGTCACACTACTGAGCTAAGCAGGGGAAATGTGTTCCTCGTTAAAAGTGTGCTTTGTGTTTTGGCAGTCAGTAAAAAAGTGTGTGCACCAGTTCTGTTCCTTTAATAAAATCATAAAAAGGAAGAATGTGGCTTGAGCAATGTGATCATCTACAAATAAGATAAGACTGCATGAGGGTCTGGAAGCCAGGATGAAAAGTATAAAAAGCTATTATGGAGCAAAACCAGCAAAACCAATGACTCATAGAGGACGGTAAGGAAGGAACAACATAACAGTGTTTGCAATGGAGTTTGACGGCTTCCTAGCAGGGAATATTGAGCACAGTCAAAGGACGAAGGTGGATTCTGTACTTGGTTCTATTGCTCTGAACAGAACCAAGAGTTCTGAACAGCAATAGAACCAGGGAATATACCTCACTCCCAGTCAAATCATTTCCTCAGAAATCTGTCGTGAGTTTCCATAAATAAACTTCTTATTTTCATTTCAGTTTAAACCTTTAGAAGACAAATTACTTAATGTGCTTAACATCTTGACAAATTCATCAAAGGTGAAGCTTTCTTCTTCTTCTTCTTCTTCTTCTTCTTCTTCTTCTTCTTCTTCTTCTTCTTCTTCTTCCTCCTCCTCCTCCTCCTCCTCCTCCTCCTCCTCCTCCTCCTCCTCCTCCTCCTCCTCCTCCTCCTCCTCCTCCTCCTCCTCCTCCTCCTCCTCCTCTTCTTCTTCTTCTTCTTCTTCTTCTTCTTCTTCTTCTTCTTCTTCTCCTTCTTCTCCTTCTCCTTCTCCTTCTCCTTCTCCTCCTTCTCCTCCTCCACTACCTCCTCCTCCTCCTCCTCCTCCTCCTTCTCTCTCTCTCTCTCTCTCTCTCTCTCTCTCTCTCTCTCTCTCCTTTCCCTCCTTCCTTTCTTTCTTTCAAGACAGGGTTATGGTAAATTTTTCTGACTATTTTTTACTTTCTATTAATTTTCTGCACTAACTTGTGAGGTGAATACTAACTTTTATGAAGGTGATACTCAAACTCACGTTAAAAATTAGTTTACCTTGTTCAACACTTGTTTGAGAAGCTTCACACTTGTCTAATCATACACTTGTATAATTATACATTTCCCCTCTCTTACAAACAAGAGCAACTGATGGGGAGAAATGACTCAAACTCCAAAGTCTCCGTTATTAATAAGTTACGGGCATGAGATGCAAATTCAGGCCTAACTACATAAGTTTTTCCTTTTCTGTTCTCTGAAGATAATTCCTTGACATGGGTAGTTCTTCTAAATGTGTTGAAATGAAGGCATGAGTATAAATTAAAGGACAGACATATTTTCATTCTTGACTGTATTACCTTTCTTTGCTTCAACATTTACAAATTCTATTAAAAGTAAGCACTCTTAATTGGAGACCTAATGTAGTGAAATTAAACTTTACTGGGTTTTTATACAGAAAGGTGTTTATTTGTGGTTTCCAAATATCACCACAGAAGAGTACACTACCACAACTATCACCAGCTGTGCATCATCTGTCCCAACGTGTCATAGTCAAATCACCTTAAACAGAAAAATGATTGTGTTTCCTCTAATAAAACACTAACACAACATTTCTGTTTCATCTAACCTTCCTAATAAGCAGGACATACCGGCTCTGGGTGCACACTTTCTCCATGATGGGGAACTGAAGTCACTGCTGCGAGTCAGAGGTGCAGAAAATGTGAATTATGACCTGAATCTGAGCCCAGCAACGTCTTTAATGCTCGATGAGACTGCTGTCAAAGACGGAGGGAGACACAGTGAGAAAATCAGTGTGAGTCTTTTCTTTTGGCATGTGTATGCGGTATGCATGCACATACACGTGTTTGAATGTACAGGGGTGTGCATGTATGCATGTACACGTAGACGTGGGGTTGACACTGGGCAACCTATTGTTCCCCACTTTACTTATTGATGTAGAGTCACTCCCTGAACCTAGGCACGGTCAATTCTGGCTCATCTAAGCACCAATCAAAGTTTTCCTCTCCGGTGATGCTAATTCATGTCAAGCTGGCAATGAAAGCTAAGTAGGAGATACTAAAATTATAGAAAAAGCTCATTTGTTGGACATGAGCTCTGAGAATGACTTGAGACATCCAATAAAATGGGAAGCAAAACCCTACCCAAGAGATGGCTCAAATTTCCTGGTCATGAAGACATGGCTGTCTTTTATGGCTCTTACGTCATACTCAAGCTATGTTCAGCATGGCTTATCTTTCTCTCATACAACCCTGCTATACCAGCATCATTGCCCTACAAGACCTCTCTACTGCTTGCATCACAAACCCCTACTGCCCTTGTTCTAACTCGTGGGTGACCATGCTTATCTTCCACCTTACAGCTCACAATTTTCAAGCTAACCATAGGTGTCCAAGGTGATTATGTGAGAAACACTAAAAGAGAGGGGGGGAAAAAACCTAATCCCTGTTTACAAAACAAGTACATTTTAGTTTCACATCTGGCAGGAATAAGTCAGTAGGGAAGAAACATTCCTACATAAGGAAAATTTAATGATATTGAAACTTATCCAAAGGTGGGTCTGGTCTAGTGATAGCAGCTCAGAGTTTAAAAGCATTTGCTTCTCTGGGAAGAGACCAAAGTTCAATTCTCAGCATTCGTGTCAGACAGATCACAACCTCTTGCAGCTCCAGCTCTAGAATATTCAATTCCTTCTTCTAGTCTCCTTGAGTAACACACATACATACCCACATAAGTGTGTGCATGCGTACACACAAATGCATGCATGCACACACACATGCACGCACACACACATGCATGCACACACACACGCACACACACACGCACACACACGAAACCTTAAATTAAAGGAAAACAAAATTGCCCAAAGCAGAGTTTCATGACACAGCAATGCTTCCTTAGCTATTGCTCCTTACCCTAAGTCTTGTCAGGAATGGGCAATGATGTTGTTGGGGGAAACATAAGTGAGGGTGCTTCAGTGTGGTCCCAGAAATGCCATTTGACCCACAGCATGGACTCCCATTTCCTTGGAGAATTTTGCACAGGAAATTACTGCTAGCAAAACTAGTTACACAGACAAGATACAGTAAGGTTTCCACAGTGTGTGCAGATGTAGCTGCACCGTGCTACTGAATACATTGCATCTACTAGAGAAGGTTCTGCGGCTAAACATGTATATCTTGGAGTTCTCCAGGCATTACATACTTTACCTAGGCTATAGAATGTGTCCACCCCTTCCTCCCAAGGCAGAATTGTATCTCAAATCCTCATGCAAAAAAAAAAGCTCACTCTGCTCACTGTTTTGAGGCATTTAGTGAAGAAACATTTTTAGATTATTTGCATAAGTATGACTGTGTGCCCTTTTCATATAACCCAGTTATGGCAACAACATACAATTTTGGATGGAAGAACCCTTTGTTATGTCTGGCTTTGCAATAGATTTCCAAGCAAAGTACATATTGACCTCGGTTTAAGCACAGAGAAGAATGTCTGCTGCTATCAGGGTGGTGCTAATTGCATGTGCTACATAAATAGTTCTGTTCAAGCCACCTTCAGATGACTAATATTCATTTTCAGTTCTTGCTAGAAAAGGCTTTTGTGCATTTAAATTGTTCCATCAAAGAGAAATTGCTGAGAATTTCTCCCCCTCTCACCTCCCTGCCCTTATTAAAGAGTCCCCACTAATAAGAAAAAAAAATGAGCATTAGTGAAATAATGATCAGCACCTAAACTGCCCTTTCCTAACTGCGTTTTGTAATTACAGGTTGCTGCACAATTAGAATCATTTCATTTTAACAATGCTGGACATATATAAGCACCTAATACCTCTCATGGGGTTAGGTAAAAATGTATATTATTTCTTACTTTTCATAAAGTACTATCACCAAGAAACGGGGAGGCAAAACCTTCATAATAACAGCAAGAATTGCTACATCAGAATTCCTAACACATTGTCAAGCATTCCGAGTCTCTCTCATACTGCCTATTCTGTGTTTCATAAACACTAGCATCTGTTTCTAATCCCATGTCATGTAGTCAATCTGTCTCTGTTTAAAGCCAAGAGGAAAGATGACCTGATGTTTCAAGGCAGAGAGCCTGCCCAGAGAAACTGCTAATTGTCAGGAAGGTGGACTGCTCTCCCGGAGACTGACAGATGAGAAGTTGGATGGTGAGCATGACATACCCACTACCTGCTTCTCCTAGAGTCTATTTCGGGAAACACACAACTGTGAAAGTCGGGAAGAGTAGTGTGTATAGCTGCAGTTGCATTCGTGGCTATTTGTACCTTGGACTGATTTTTATTTCCATTAAAAAAACACTATTGCTATCACCAGACTGCTGTGAATCTTCTTTAATATCTTCCTAACTCTTTCTTTATCCAGATAGAATTATTTCTTATTATTTTAAATAAAAGTTTTAAGTGGAAACAAGATGTAGTTTCCACCTAAAAGCAAAAGTAGCTTTGCTAGCGTTCATTATTTTTTTCTCTTGTAACAAATAACTAAACAATATATATTTTAATATACAATTTAATTAGACACATGCCTTGATAACTTGAAGGTAAAAGCCTAATATTGTGACTGTTCATGCTGCTCAAGTATCAGATACTGTACCTTTTATGAGAGAATGGAAAGTTCCCACTAGAACATCTGGGAGTAGATATAGGAAAAGTGATGATTACATCACCAATCAGAAGAACTATAACTGTCAGCACCAGAAGAGATAAAGATTAAAATAAAGCAGTTAAAATATGAGTAAGGTAACTAGTTTCAAACAAGTTAATGAAGTCTGAGAAAGAGAACTAAACCCTAGAGATAAGTTGTGCATCTTAGATACCATGTGCACCTCAGACTTCATGCATTTTAAATGTTTGGTTATCACGGAATCTGATATCACATTTATCCAGTTTTGTTATAGTTCAGGCTTTCTTGCACATTTAAGAAAATTTTTGATTCTCATTAGAATATTTTGTGATCTTCTAGTAACTCTATTTGACCTCTTCTATGAATTAAATACAAGCAGAGATTTGTGTGTGTTTGTGTGTGTGTGTGTGTGTGTGTGTGTGTGTGTGTTCTTTTGGGGTATCTTCAATGCCTAGCAAATAGATATGATCAGAAATCATACATATGAAAGGGTCTAAGAACATGAGTCTATTAAACACTGAAAGAAGTTATGCTGCTCAAATCCTCACTAGTTATGGTAGTTCAGATCAAAGTTCCATGATGCAGCCATTCACAATACAGACAGCTATATGACAAGTTCATGTCTACATGGTCCCAGGGATGAAAACAGTTGTTTCTAATACCCTGGTCAACTGAGAAGAGTGGGCTACAGTTCAAGAACAAAAGATTAGCTACATACTAACTAGGGGTTGCTTTGTAGTGCTGGGAACCAAACCGAGCGTTTTACAGATGTTAAGCAGGTGTTTACCTTAATACTGAGCCACAACCTCAGCCTCGAGGTTTTACACAGGAGATGAAAAAAAACCCTCAGGTTCTGAGTACAGTGGTGTGTATTTGCTGTGATGAAAACTTTTAGAATTTTACTAAGCATTTATTTTGGATCTGTAAGAGAAACATTTTGATAGATCGTAGTCCTGGAGTCTGGGTGATCCTGGCAAGTTGAATTAAAAGTTAGAAGCACCAAGATTACCTTAAAGAGAACTAAATCTAAATTCTGAGCTTCCAGTTAGATGTGTCCACTACAATGACGGCTAAAGGACATTTTTTAAAAATCTACAGGGTCAAACAGTTTGAAAAGACAACATCACAGTGGGCGAGAGACAAGAACCAAGTATTGGAAGTTGGGAAAGCAGATGTAGGAGTGCTGGGGTCCGGCCTGCATCAGTCCTACGCTACAGGGGTCATCTATCCTGAACTGATGTCTTTGGGGCTGTTTCTGGAACCAGCTGGACAACCCCGGGTCTGACTCTGAGGGCGGGGAGTGTGGATCAGGGAAGCCCTAGCTACCCAATGGCGTTAAGAACAAGACAGAGACATCTTGTCATTTCAGGAGGGCCCTCAGTCCATACTGGAGACCATAGTTTATTCAAGCATCCTCTTAAATAGCTTTCTAAAAGAAGGGGCACTGGCAGAAGGCATCTGTTATCACGAAACACTTCCTTTAACTCTAGAGTTGGTCCTAGAATGCACATACACAAGTCCTCAGACTTTCTGTAATGGCACGTTGTCTCACAAGTCTTCGCATGTGTTACTGACCCCCAGGCACATCCCACTAGCCCCCATAATGGGTGTGGGGCCTAGGTCTATTGTTACACAAACTATAAGTCATTCTCCACTGTGGCCAGATCATCTGGAGATAACCAGCCTACATCTAAAAGACAATAGGAGATTTGAGCTCCTGGAATTGAGATGAGGCCTATATGAAAATATCATATTCAGTCCCAACATAGGTGCAGAGGTGATTTTTGTTAATGAGATGTACAGGAAGTGTAATAAAAAAGAAGAAAGCTTTTGGAACTTGTAGTCACCAGGCCCTTTTGAACACATTGAGGTAAGCAGTGGATGGAAAGACAGAACCTCCTTCTCTCAATCCTCAAAATCCACAGGATAGACTTAGATTTTCTCCCAGGAGGCATAGATATGGGTAGGAGAGTTGAGAGAATGAACATCAAAAGAAACTTATTTCACCAAATTTGTTTCTTTCCCCATTTCCATTGCCAAAAGTAGAAAAAAATCAGCTTTGTATCCAGAAGAAAAGATAACAAAACATTCTAGACTTTGTCCAGGGGTAAATCCA